AGGCTGCCTTTGAACCTGATGTATCAGCTGCCCCTCTTTCTCTTAGTCAGCAAGAAAGGCTGGGGTTGCTTTTCTTTTCTTTTTTTTTAAGGTTAACATATACACGGAGTGTTTTCTTAGTTTGAGGGTTGGGAAAGAGGGAAAACTTTTAAGTACGTCTTTTCTTTCCCGTAAGTGATCAAATAGTCTATTGTAGTATTTTCAAAATGGTTACACTTCTGAGACATGAGTGAGTGTCTTTCCCCTCCCAACCCTGGTGAAAGATGACTCCGAATGTAATAAAGTGGGCTCCAGAGATATCCGTTTATTTATTCCAAATATTTCAGCTAATGAGAAAGCGAGGTTGAACTCCCTATCCTCGGGGGCTCTGCAGCCAAGCTCTCTGGCAGCGCTCTTGGCATGGATACTCTCTGATCTGTTCCTTCTGCCTCCAAGGTTCTGTGGGGCCCTCTCTCTCTCTCCAGGTTTCTCATTAGTAGAAACCCCATCACTCATGTGGGAGGCAGAGGCCTCACTCCTGCTGACGCCTTTATTATGCTTGCCCTGCCAGCCTCTGCGCCCCCTCTCCCTGCCTCCAGCCAGCGCCCTCCTCTCTGCAGGGCTCCCCCCTGCCCTGTCATCCTCCTGTGTGGCTCCTGGCAAAAAGCTGCCTCTGATGGATTCCATAGAACCCTGACCTCACTTTGAAGTTAAACACGCCCACCTTCAGACTCAGCTCTGCCCCCTTTAACTGGATTTCTACACTCATTAGCCATTCCCAGGAGCCCAGTGTGCCTCCTGGGTGACAATATAAGAAGTCGATTTAGGGACAAGGTAGGGAATTGAGCGTTGTGTTCTTAGACACACACCACTAAAAGAGCCAGTGGAGAGAGCCATCCCTCCCCCAGGTTCCCCGGATGGCAGAGTTCAGGCCCTGGGGACAGAGATGTGAGCTGGACCTGGGTTAGACAGCTCGTCCTGGCCAAGATGGCCCTTGGGCAGGTTACTTTGTCTGAGTTATAAGTGGTCATTGGTGAGAATTAATTTACTCAAGTACTTGACACAGTTTGTGGTAAATGTGAAAAGTATGATCTCAAAAAGGTAAACTGTTATTGCTATTTCCAATGGTCAACCTCGGTGAAAAGTGAAGGGTTCACTGGACAGCCCACGGACACCAGCTGTTGGATTCTCACTGAAGTCACTGAGGAGGAACAATTCATGCGCTTTCACATGCTACTGCATCCCGGCTCAGCATTCCTCTGGATTCACAGAGCAGCAGTTGAGCTCAGCAGTTGAGCATCAATCCAGGAACCAAGAGGTCACCAGTTCGATTCCTGGTTGGGGCACTCTGACCTCAGTAGGAGACATGTAGGAGGCAGCCAATCCATGTCTCTCTCTCTCGTCTATGTTTCTATCTCTCTATCCCTCTCCCTTCTTCTCTCTCAATTAAAAAAAAATCAATAAAAACATATTTTTTAAAGATGATACTACATAATCACATACCATTGATGATCAGTCCTTGAGGTCCTGGGGCAGAGAATACTCATCATCGTAATAATCATTTAAATGGCTGCTGCCTGTTGCCCAGTTACGTTGGGCCAGGTACTGCCTTGGAGCAATTGAAATATAATAGCACCATTTTGGGAGGTATTGTACTCCCCACTTAATATAAAAAGCAACTGAGATTGAAAATTTGCAAGACTTGGTTAAGGGTTTGTATCAGTGAATGCCCTGACAGGAAAAAGCACACCCAGAAACTAACACAAGCGGAAGGCTGTTACCATTCTATGCTTAAGGCGGCTGCGTGGGGGGTAGCGGGGAAGATTGATGTTATCATACTCCAGAGAGCCAGAGCCATAGAGCAGAGCCACCCAATAAGACCTGTGGCCACAGCAGGAAGGCAAGGAAAGGAATGCCAGGGATGATGGGTACATTGGTTTAAATAACCCACACACCAACCTCTCTCTCCTCTCATCCTCTATCTTGCTGGTTCCTCCCATTGCCTGAACCCAATAAGAAGCCAGAGGATGAGTGAGCCAGGATGAAGCACTCCATGGTGGTCTGCCTCCCTGGACACAATGAAAAGCAGATCAGTACAAAGAATGGATGATGGGTGGAGGGGTATAAATGTAGAAAAATTAACTGTCACTCAACTACTCAATGGGAATCTAGGACCTCACTCAACTTTTTTATCCAACACCAAGCAGTCTCCACCACCTAGAAGATATTGGTACAGGTTGTTTAGTAAATAAGTCAGAGAAGGGAAATTATAAAATGCTGTAAAAGAGAGCAATGGGAACTAAACAGATCTGAGTTTGAATCCAGGGTCCACTACTGAAATGCACTCTGACCTTGGGCAAGTTTGCTCAGTCTTTTCAAGTTTTGCTTTCTCTTCTGTCAAAGTAGAAGCACTTTCCCTGGAGCATATTCCAAGTGTAGGAAGTGAGATGAAGATAGAAAGTAGACAGGCACCATCACATTGAAGCAGAATTTTTGGACTGGAACACCTGGTGTTCCCCGGGGCAAGAAGTCCTGGATTCTTTGTCTGCTGGGGTAGAAGAATGAATCCATGGACAGAAGGTGGTAGAGCAAAAGTGGAGATTTATTAAAGAACAAGTACAGACTCCCACATGGGGAGGGGGAAAGAGTCCGCTGAGTTCCTTTTCCCTACGGCTTATAAAGGCTACAGGTCCTGGTGCCTTGATAATCCCCTCTGATTGGTCACTATTCCCTTGGACTGGTTACTACCTGGTATAGGAACTCCTGGGCTCAAAGGTTGAACCTCACATGTGAGGTTCTCTCCCAGCCCCCTTCCTTATTGTTTTCCTATTCCCTCTGGGCTTCTCCTCCTTCTGAATGAAGGGCTTCCTTCCCTTTATTTTGTAAATATAGACCTTTTGCTGTTCCCAGCTCCCTCATTCTATGGAAATGTACCTGTTGCAGCTTTTCAGCGCCCCTATTCTATGGAAATATACCTTCTGCTGCTCTGTAGCCCTGTGCTTCTTCCATGGTCCCCTCAATTCTTAAAATTTCCTAAAGCCTGTCCTTTTCACCCCCAAAATTCCTGTTTCAACATCAGTCAGACTTGAGAGTTAGACTGGTTCAAATCCTGGCTCTGCAACCTCCTGGCGATACCACTGCCTTAATTAACCTGTCTGTGCCTTTGTTTCTCCTCCGTGCAACAGGATAATGATAAGAACACCTACATTACAGAGATGCTGTGATATCCAAGTGACTTAATCTATGTAAAACCGTTAGTAGAGTTACCCAGCACTTAATAAGAGCTCAGTAAATGTTGGTTGTTTTTACTATAGTGCTCAGTACCCTGCTCTTCCGGTGGGGTGGGAGCAGGATGAGGTTTGTGTTCAGGGGTCTTTGATTCTCTTCTCTCTAGAGCACTCAGGCCCAGATTCAAAGCTTTATCCTTTCACTGTTTTCCACAAGGAGGCCAAGAACACAGCCTTTCAAACACTTAGCAAGTTTTCTGAAGTCCTGGATGCAGATGGGGATTGCATTACATGGGCTCAGCCATGTAACTGACTCCCTTCGCTCTGCACCCCTTTTGCTCAGCACCTTGTTCTGGGATTATTCTTAGGTTTGTGCTCAGCACCTGAGGACTGCAGGCCACTCTGTCACTGGCAGGTGCTTTAGGGGGAAGCAGTCCTGCCAGGCCACCAGCTTCACCCCCATGTCAACCCCACATGTTCACATAGCATACTTCCAGTGAATAATATACTCTTCATCTGGTTACAGAGCACTCAGCAGAGTCAACAAACACTTATGTGCTAGAGACTCTTCTAGGTACTGGAGACACAGCAGTGGAAAAGTAGGCCATAATTTCTGCCTGTGTGGAGCCTACATTCTAGTGTGAGGAGCAAACGGTACACATGAGAACTAAGCAACCCATGTGATATGTTAGAATATGACAAGGGCCATGGAGGAAAAAAAAGTAAGGAAGAAGAATAAAGACTTATAGCATGAGGACTGCTTGCCATTTTAAATAGGGTGGTCAGAGAAGGCTTCCCTAAGATGTTGAAAAATATGCTTCACAGATTGTGTCAAAAATGCCAGACATTATTATTGGTCCAAGAAACTCAATTGTTTTCTCTCCGGGGATGCCAGGGGCATGTAGCTGGAAAAGTTTGAGAATAGCCACCTAGATATCAGGGAGCATTATTGCAAGGATACAAGAAATATAGAGCAACATGGGGCAACATATCCTTCTCTGCTCAGCTGCTCTCAGGCCCAGCCTTCCCAGGGCTGAGATGTGGACCAGCTCTCATAGATCAATCACCAGCACCTTCGGGAATACAAACTCTATGTTCACATGGTGCATCTTACTTGTGTGTGTTTAGGAAGTAAGTGTTAGTTGTGTTGGGTTGCTAACATCCAGTATGGACTGCCCTGCTGGGGAAAGCTTTGAAATAAGTCATTTCAGAAGCAATCATTTCTCTTATGCTCACACTTAGTTGGATTTTTGGTTTGGGGCCAGGTCATTGAAGGGGCGAGGGCTGCGCCCTCCATGTTGGGGTAGTAGCCACGTGCTCAGACCTCCTTCTTCCCGGAAGCCCAGGCCTATGCTGGCCACGCCCGGGATTTAAACTAACCAATGACAATCAAGGGACGTGCACGCCATAGAGATAACCACATCCTGTGTAACAAGACCCGACTTGCGCCTGGCCAATCGGCAGGGCCCACAGTCAGCTCCACTCCCCTCACTCCAACCCTCCATTAAAACCCTGTTTTTCCCAGGGGGTTTCACTCTGCTTCCTGTCGCTGCGTCGGCCAGGAGGGGGAGTCGAGCTAGCTAGCTCAATAAAGGACCTTCTGCTTTTGCATCGGACTGGCTGGCTCCTGGTGTGGTCTTTGGGGATCTTGAAATCTGGGCATAACAATACTAGGTCTCTGAAGCAGGCTGGGCCTGGCCAGTGGTCCTTCCTACAGATGGGAAAGTTCACGAGGGCTCCACGGAGCTCTATGTGGCTGCATGGGAGGGCCGAGGGCTTACTGGCCTAGGAACTCTGGCTCCACGGGCCAGCAGGGCGCTGGGAGGAGGAGGGAGGAGTGTCCTCAGTGCAAGGCCTTTCCAGGATGCTGGGAGTGTCCCTGGCAGAGGGCTCTGTTGGAGTCAGGGATGAGCACCACCCTCATGGACTCAAAGGAGAACGAAGGACACCCTGGAAGCTCGTTGATGAAGGATATCATCCCCCTGGGGCCTGAGGAATCTGCCATGGAGGTGGTCTTGAAGAAGATCCGGGAGCTCTCTGATTCGGTGAGGGGAGAGGAGGGAGGGGAGAGTGTGGGTCTCAGTCCCTACTTAGGTGGGGACAAAATAAGACTTCGTGTTTTATTAGTCAGTTTACTAGGTCTTACTGAATAGCTGTGTTCCCTGGTGGCATGGGATAGTTCTCCTGTCCCCTTCTAGTCTGCCACCAGCTCCTGGGATTCCACCCTGTGCCAAGCGATCCCGGTGAGGGTTGGAGAGTCCTGGCGCCCATTTGGTCTATAAAGCTTGTTGCCCTCTTGTCTTCCTGTTGTAAAAGTTAGAAGGTCAAGGCTCAAATCCTACCATTGCCATGTAGTTGCTATTGACCTTGAAAAAAAGATTCATATTGTAGTTCACCTGACACCTGTATAATTTTTTAACCAGTGTCACCCCAATGTATTCACGAAAAAGGAAAAAATAAAGAGATTTTAGAGCCGCAGTTTCCTCTTTTCCTAACTGGGTAACAGTAGTACTTGCCGCATGGGGACCCTGTGAGGATTCACTGAAGTGACACAATGCCCAGCCTCTCTTGCCTCTCTCTCTGCCTTGGCAGGACCACCGAGACCCCTTCATGGTGGGCGACCTGGGAGTGTTGGCCAGCCGCCACCAGGCCTTCTGCCAGGCCCTGCCAAGGGTCTCGCCCTTCTATGCGGTGAAGTGTAACAGCAGCCCCTGGGTGCTGCGTGTCCTGGCCGCCCTGGGCACCGGCTTCGACTGTGCCAGCCAGGTGAGCTTGGGCCACAGCCAGTTTCCTCATTCATAGGCCTGACGGTTCCTGGAGGAAAAAGGCCAGTTGCCAGGTGTCTCAAAGTGGGGACAGCAGCCCATGAGCAGTGGCTGATGTGTGTGGTGCCCAGTTGTTTGTGAAAGAATAAAGGAATGAACTGGGAGTGGTCCACCCTCCACTGGTCTAGGTGACGAGGGCGGTCAGCCTGAGCTAAGGAGTGGAGGGAACATGTGCTTTAATCCCCAGACCCCGTTCTTTCCTGGCCCAGCCATTTCACTGGAGCCTCAGTTTCTTGGTCTTTAAAATGGGTTCAACTATATATTCCTCAGAGCAGTCTAGAAGCTTAAATAGCACAATATGTGCTCAGTGCTTTGCCAGATGCACAGTAGGGACTCAGTAGGGGACAGCCCCTCATGCCCGTGGTTCCTGTGCCCAAAAAGCAGGGCATTAGGAAGGCAGCCCCTTACTCTGGCTTTGCCAATGGCAGGTGGAGCTGGAGCAGGTACTAGGCCTGGGCGTGGCCCCCTCACGCATCATCTATGCCCACCCCTGCAAGCCCGTCTCCCACCTGCAGTATGCTGCCCGCCATGGGGTGCAGCTCCTGACCTTCGACAGTGAGGAGGAGCTGACCAAGGTGGCCCAGCACCACCCTGGGGCCAGGTGAGACCAGCAGGGCTGCAGGCAGGTGGGGACAGGGAGGAAGTTCTGGCAAACTGACTTGGGCCTCAGCAAGGAGATGCAGGCTGTTCCGTGGTGACTAGGAGCCGCCTAAGCAGCAAAGAGCAAGAATTAGTGCCAGGTTTCCAGTGCCCTCCCTGGTGCCCACTCGTGTCAAATAAAGATTCCCTGTGTCTGCAGAGGCGCTGGCAGAGCCTGGCATTAGGAGGTCTGGAGTCAGCAACCTCGTGGGAAAAGCACTGATAGGATTCAGGAAGACCAGGGGTCTCATTTCTGACTTGTCGCATCTGTGTGTTCTTGGGAAAGTTATTTAACATCTCTGATCCTGTGACAGGAGGTCTGCT